TCGGCCCAACGGAGCCCCCGTCGACGAGAGGTGGCCGCAGTGGTTATGGGTTTTGTGGTGGTGGTGGTGGTGGCGGCGGCGGTGGGCATGGGTTTAATCGGGGAATGGTAATTGCTACCGTGCCTGTCTCTACGAAGAAGGCGAAGACTCTTCGTCCCCAATCGGAATCAAATCCGACAGCCTTCGAACACCTGTGAGGGAGAGCGTTTCAAAAACAGAGACAGAGAGCGTTTCAAAAACAGAGACAGAGGCGGATGTTTTTTCCGTTGGGACTTGGGAGGTATATATGGTGTGTTCGGTTGGGTTGGATTTTTAACCCAATTTAATTCAACCCAATGCAAAATTATCCGAGTTGATTTGAATTCAATGCATCTTATTCTATCCAATCCTTGCTTTAGACAGAGAACATGTGAATTGTAAGTTCCACGCCCATGTTCAAATCAATGGAAATAAATGACCATTGCAATTTGCACACCTTTGTAACAAAATAAAATTAAAAAATTAATTTTCCATTTAAGCTAATTAGCTTCATTATGCCATCAACTTAATTTAAATGATAAAAAATAGTTAACTAAGCAATTAACACAAATTAGCCTCATCAATTCACTAATAATCTTATCAATATTAGTAATTAACTCGTTAATAAAGTAACTAACACCTTAATTAGCATCGTTAATTTTTAAAGAAAATTTCTGTAACTAAACCCATCAATTAAGCCAACAGTTAACTATCCTATTGATTAAGCAAATTAACCCTATTAATTAGTGCCCAATCAATCGATATGATCAATTAAAGTTATTGAGAATCAAGACTAATTAACAAAATTCAGTTACCATCCTAACGACTGTTAACACATTAGGATGAAATTTTCATTTTTTTTTTTTTTTTGTGTTGGGGGGGGGGGGGGAAAATTTTGGACACGTACTCTAATTTTGGAAAATTTTCATAAGCCCTTCAACTTGTTTCCCCAAAGCAATGCTCTGAAACATTTAGCAATTAGTTATCAATTAGCGTACGTTCGCAATCTTGAATTTTTGATCAAAGGCAGTTTTTACCAAATCTTTATTCCAAACTTAGTCAGTGTTAAACTTATTTTTTAAATTCAATTTCTTTCTAAAAACGTTATTTAAAATGACACCTTCTTAGATGAAAGCGTCATTTGTAAAGCGTAATTGAAAATGATGTCTAAATGTCAATTTTATTATTTATTTTGAAAATAAACGGTTTCCTAACGGAGTTGAGACATAAACAACAGTTAAACTATAGGCATAAAACGTCATTAGGAATGACGTTTTTAAAATTGTCATTCAAAATGATGATTTAAGCAAACTAAATCAGAATCCAATTTTCCCAAATCACAAAATCCCTTAGTGTTCTAAACCCAAAATTCCCAATCACCCACATACCATCTCTACATTTACCCTCTCCACTCCACACCTTCGACGAAGACCACTCTGGCACAGACGTCTATCTCTGATGAAGACCACTCCTCTGATGAAAGATCTGAACTGCGGGAAGGATTTTGCAAATCTGTGTCTCTCTCTATCTTTGTCCCTATCCTCCGACGACAACTGACCATAATTTTGACGACCCATCGAAGGTATTGTGTTGTCTCTATTTTGCTTTATTTGTCTCTCTCTCTCATCTTTTGTAATAAAACTAATTTCTGCCCACATTAGTAGAGTAAGAGGCTCTATTCGATTTTGTTGTCACTAATTTTTGTTTTGTTTTGGATTTTGCTTCAATTTTCCACCATGGAACGAACAGACACTCTTCTACACAAACACTTCTTTATTTAACATTTTCTAGAATTATCTTCAAATACCAAAGTCAATGCTCAAAAATAGGGTGCTTATATGGTGCTAGCTGTTAGCAATTGAAGGGTCCTTTACTCATAGTTGATGCTTATGAAAAGGTCGTATCCAATGTAGAAGTAATAGGGAAACACATGAAAAAGAACATCGTCGCTTCTCATCTTAACTTAAAAATAAGGAAAAAAAAAACAATGAAATTAATGAGCCCTTCTTCCATGCAGGGCAAACTTTTTGGTGTTTGTCTGATATATAAAAGCATATGCCTAATCAATCAACATACTGTCAGGAAATGAGAACGTGGCAAAGAATAGTCGCACGATCGAGGACGGATCCATTAGTGAGCTATGGTGGGCTGGAGCCCAGAATTAAAAAATTATGTCTACATCAAATTTTGCTACAAGATTTAACAATCGCAAATGTGTATGGATTTGGTTGTTACAAGAGCGAAACGATGATTACAAGGTCAAGAGATTTTTCGATACAAAAGAATATTATGCAAGATTTACGATGAGAGTGGACTTTTTCGTACTAATAAATCAAACGAATTATTCACACAACTAAAAGAACTTGGCATACCAGTGCCTCATAAACGATCACTAAAGCGAGGACTACAAATCAACAGTAAAATGTGTTTGAAGAAAGAATAATAAAATGTTGGTGCGTCAGTGTCATTGTTACATACTCCAAATAGCAAAAGACATGGTGAGATCTGTATTTGGACAAGAGTTGATACCAGTTGAGCAAAACAATATATTATCTAATGCACAATATCTGTCAAATTATTATATATATGATGAAGATTAACAAATGTACTAAGTGTGCAATTGTTTTTCCCAATGTCATATATTGAATAATGGTTATCATTGTAAATCACGAATATAACTTTATCAGTGTAGTGTCAAGTTATATCAGTCATTTGTTATTGAATTGTTATGTCATTACTTTATCACTATGAAGTTATATCATTACTTATCAGAGTGTCAAGTTATGTTAGTCGTACGCAGTAACTATCTTGTCAAATTGGTATATAATTGCATTCATTGTCTATATAAACCATCATTCTTAATTGTGTACATTATAACCCAAAAAAAGTTTAGGCGCACATAAATGGGCAATCCGGTCAAACCATCCAAGATTCTTCATCACGCAATGAATATAGTTCATCTACACCTAGTGAACGTCAACGCTCGACTGGTCGACAAGCATTGTCTAATATAGTTCATTCAATTGGATCTTACACAGATTCCACCAGTGTTACTTAATATGGACAAAAAAACGTGAGTTCCGCAATGAGCCTATCGACCCTTATTACTCATTCGATCATGTTAAACACGTAATTGTTGATCTTGCGATCGACTATCTATCTCCGAGTGTTCATATCGAACTCACACCAAGATGACGACAATTATATAACAAACTTTGTGAGCTTGAAGTATATTGTAGTTGGCATGGAATAATGGTACCGAAGACATGTTCCGTTGATATATAGAATCCACAAAACTCTAGTAACCATGACGACATCATAGTAAGACTTGAACGTAAAAATGATTAATGTAACTTTGACTTGATCAAAAATTGAGCATTTCAATTCTAAATATTCTAAGATTCAAATTTTAGAGGATTCGTAATTTGTTTCCGATATTAAACTTTTTGATTATTTCGATTTAAGTGATAATGAATATGACACTTTTATTCCATCAAATTCATGTATATTCGGTAATTGTCTATGTTATTTTCAACTTCAACTATGATATTGATAGACTATATTTTTTACAGTCTCATGTAATAATGTTGTTTTGTCTAATGTATAAGTATCATTTTTCATATTTGCATGTTTTGTACCCTTTTGTCGGTCAACTCTCATTGTGCTATGAACTTAAGACATTATTTTGGAATAGATAATTTTTAACATATACGAATTCCTTAAAATCAGTCTCAAAATTCACATATAGACAAACAATATTTTATCCATTTTTAGTAATGCAATTAATTAATTTTTTTTTAATTCATAACTTAATTTTAATATGGTTAATAATTTAATTTTTAAGTTAAAATAAATAATTGAAACAAATTTTAAGAAAACATCTTTCTAAATGACGTTTTTAGTATGTAAGGAATTTTACAGTGTTAATGGTCGTTTCAATATACTTTTTATACACATCATTTAAAATGATAATTTAAACACCCAATACAAGAAAACATTTAAAATGACATTTTCACCTAAGAATGCCTCATTTCAAATGACATTTCTAAGAAGAAATTGAGTTGGACAAATAAATTTAAAATTGACTGAATTTAAGAATAAAGATTTGGTAAGGGCTGCATTTGGTCACAAGCTCTCGCAATCTTTATATTTATACAACGGTCAGGACTAAAGGCTCCATTGATTGAGTCCAGCACTCTGCACTGCTAACCACACACCAAAATACTAACTGATTGATTAAGCAAACTGACTGCATCTTATTCTTTGTGTGCAACAATCACACCATGCTTGCTAACCACACAAGAAAAATCCGAGAAATTTGAAAAACAGAATGCAGTATGGAAACAACGCAGAATGCAGTACGTAAAGGCAAGATTAAATATAATCTAGTACTCATTGGAGTTGAGGCAAATAAAAGACAGCTTAGACAAAATCTGATGATCCAGTTTCACTTGAAGACACACAACAGGAGTTGTTCACTTAATCCTCTTCTTTGGCCTTAGCTTGCCTCGGTTAGAAGATTAAAACTACGCATTCACAATACTAGCCATCCCCCACCGGCCCAACTGACCGCCCAAATGCCACCATAACAAGAAGACAATCTGGCAAACTATGAATGTTGAGATCTAACAACCTTAAAGAATCAATCAGCAAATTATCCCACTTTTTCCAATGTCTCAAGCGTCCAACCTTGAAGACTTCAAAGAATATCAACAAAAAACAAATAGCATAACAATCAATAATGCTAATGGATCTTTAACAAACTGGCCAAAAAAACCCATCAGAGCAGATACAGAAGGCAGGTCAAAATAATTAGCTGTAAGTCCAGCAAAATCACTGTCCTCCAAATGATCAAATTTCAGTAAATTCATATTCGGTTCAACATGAACTGTTCAAACAACTCAGGAGACAAGAACCAAACTTGCATCATTACTAAATATATCAGCCAAAGCTGCAAATATGCTTGAAAACAAAGACACAAATCACAGCCTTCTTCCCCTTCTGCCACCTTTTCTACGAGTACTGTCGGTGGGAATTGGAGTCACATCCTCTGAAAAAAGAAACAACACATGTTCATGACGTCTGCACCTTTAGTAGGAAAGCAATAGGGTAGCAACATTCAATCAAAGAAAAAGGGCAGATCTATTGGACACGTAAATGCAAGCAAGGGACTTGTAACTAATTTTAGGTTAAGAAAAAGAACTGCTTTATGTTAAACATTATGTATTATCAAAGAAACAAATCAAAGCTAATAACATGGACAAAGGTATTTATTAAGAGTTGATAATAAGTTGAAAGCAAGTAGTCGTCTTTGAATTTATAATCAAAAACTAAACAGAGTAAACAACATGACAAAACTCCCAGTAGAAAATATACCTATGCGACCAATTTTCATGCCTGAACGAGCAAGAGCTCTGAGTGCAGACTGGGCACCTGGGCCAGGTGTCTTAGTCTTATTCCCTCCTGTAGCCCGAAGCTTAATATGAAGAGCATCAATGCCAAGTTCCTGCAAATCACCAGCGATAAAATATTAAGTTGTAATACATATCTGAATTTCAAACCGACTTGCACAGACCAAACACAATATCATAAAATGAAAGTGTAAGACCTTGCATCGCTGTGCAACATCTTGTGCTGCAAGCATGGCTGCATATGGTGAAGATTCGTCCCTGTCAGCCTTTACCTTCATACCACCTATAATTGAAAGGGCACAAACTTTAAGGGCAGAATGAGAGTAAATAATCAAAATCACACAGCAAAAATTCACTAGACCACATAGCACCTTACCTTCTCTTCCTCTATATCCATATGAAAAGTGCAAAAATTAAAAAAAAAAAATATCAGGACTATTTAGATTGTTAAACCATGTACAGATTGAATCAGTGGAACGTTTGAGTGGATAGACCACCAGCTTAAATAGGTCTAGACATTTCTAGAACCAACTGGTTTCCCAAAGTAATAGGTCACCCCTCTCCCTGCTCCAACTATTATTTGATTGTCCAAGTTAAGAAAGGAGGATACTTTTTTTTAGGAAACAAATGATTTTATAAATAATAGAAAAGATCTAGTACAAAAAAAGGAGCAAAGGTAGACAAGTAGTCCAGACCAAATGCCAACAAACATAAAAGTCCTACAAAGACAAACGGCAAAGACTTATGAATCTTCAAATAACCACAAACAACAGGCCATCTACCCAAAATGCCGCCCTCAAACTCGTTAGTATGACATTACAAAAAGTAGCACAATTTCAAATGTAGAGGGCAAACACATGCTCCAAAATGAATGAAAATATCCATAGGCAACTCCAATGATTTACCATAAACTTCAGAAATGTATAATATATTCAAACACTTCTATACCATAGGGAATGGTTGTATGCCACTACATTAATTTGCTTGACCTATATTTTGTTGAAAAGAACAAAACTCTTTGTTTTCAGGGTGACTATCACTACCAAGGTCATTCAATCAACAAAAAAGTAAACTGAGAATTTTAACTGATCTAGAATCTGGCACACAATCAATCAAACCCCATTGTTAAACTGAATTTCATCATCCCCACCCTTGCAACAACCTCATTATATCGAAATAACAACTTAGAAACAATAGTGTGAGACAGATGCACCATCATTGCATATGGCACTGTTCCAATACTCAAAAGAAAATGTGTAGTTTTCACAAGCTGAATATGGAAAAAAAAAAGGCCATTTTTCTTGTTCCTTTTTCTAGTTCTTTTTATAACATGCACACACATGTCCCTTACAAAGCTTGAACGTGCATCCCCCCTTGGAGGTTAGCCAAAGTTGACGGTCACCGACTGTTATAAAGAATTTCCATCAGCGATATGCATAGGAAATATCATCGATTCACAAATATAATCACTGACAAGCATCAAGGGTATGATCCATGCCACAATTTTCTATTTAACTTTAAAACATATAGCCAATCGAATTCATTAAGGAAATAATGACATTATGACAAAGTTTACAATCAAGTCCTTTCATAAAATCTCATTACATGTTTTAGGAAGCATAAATCATGTTTTATGGGCAAGTCCATTTTGGGGCCTACGTCTAACATCGTAGGGTATATGCCCAAATAGCTGTGGAGTTAAACACAAAAGACAATTATATCACATGATTATATTCATCTAAATAGACTTCAAAAATGAGATCCAGATACTCATATTCTACATTATAGACTTGGATATCAAAACATACTTTTCAACAACAAAAAATAAACCAACCATAAACCTTTAATAAAAGCAATAGGCAGTGAGTCATACCAGTAATTCGAACCAAGGTTTCTCTTCCAGACAAATCAGTCACATGCTGCAATAGAGATTCATCACACAAATGGTTGGACCATAACAAACACTAACAAAAAGGCTTCTACTTACAATAAATGTGTCATTAAATGATGCAAAAATGTGTGCCACTCCAAACACGTGCTCCCCATCCCGCCTGGCTGGCCCAAGGGTCACATTTTCTTCCTTGGGCTCCCTTGTCTTCCTCTTCGACTATTAAATACAAAAAACAAAAATCTAAATCAGTAATAGTTCAAACCCTAAAAATAATTCCGATACACTATGGCCAAATCATGCTCAGGTACATCAATTCATTATTACTGCCACCACAAAGGTATATCACTCACCTTTTACACCAAAACCTAGAAAAAAATAACGCAAGGTATTTACGTTTGACTTTAAACAAAAATATGGTTTTGCTGTTTTCAAGGGAGATATTTCAGACATACTTCTCCAGGGGAAACACAAAATCATCATTTTTAACGCAAAGTTTTTCATCCCAACAATGCTACACTTGCCACCTTTCTGCACCACCTGAAAGGTGGTGTTCATATCATTATTGTTTTCATTTTCATTCTTTGGTCACCATGGAAAACAAGGTAGAAAAGAAATATACTTTTTAGTTAGCAGTGAAGGATAGAAATCGTGAAAAACATTTTCCTTTTCTTTTTCCCCTCCTTTTTGTATCCATTTACTAAATCCATGAACAAAACCGTGACACAGGTATAAAAAGAAATATGATAATAATTCCAATTAACTAAAAATTAGACAAATCATCGAGCTAAATAGAAAGAAAGCATTCCAGTGTACAGCAGGATTGTTCACTTCTTCACCAAATTTGTCCATACCACTCTTCAGATCGGGAAAAAAATTTACATTACGAATTTTCCAAGAAATATTTTCCATCAAAAACAAAACAGAATTTTCACCAAAAGGAAACATCAGCTTTGTTAAACCACTTCAAGCAACTCACACGCCTATGTTCAGATCAGGGAATGTGAAAAGCAAACGAACACGCATCTACATATGTACATGGAGAGAGAGAGAGTTACCATGGCTCCGACGAGTGAATAACGCTCCGACGAGGGAATAAGGCTCCTGCTTCTCAAGCTTGGAAAACCCTAGTGGTCGCTGGTAAGAAACGCTGATTCCTTAATTTATATAGCTAGGGTTTTGGTCCTGGGAATGGATAAAATACCACAAAAGTCCTCAAACTTTTCTTAAATGGAGAATTACACTCAGACTCCTTAAAATTTGTCACTTAATCATGTAGACCCCTAATATTTGAAATATTACACACAAAATCTTTAAAGTTTGTATACGTGTAACACACCTGTCAATGTTCGTTAGTATATTTATTAATAAATTATATTCAAACACTTAAAGTTTGTTGGTGTATAATACTTAGACCTCTCAAATTTAAAATATTACACTTAAACCTCTTGTTAATTACAGAACTAATAGAATATATTAAACGACCAAATTATCCTAATTAAAGATATAAAATATTGTGTTCATTGCAGTTTGATCCTTTTTTATAGTTTTTTAGATTTAATTCAATAAATAATATAATTATATACTAATTATGAATTTTAAAAAAATAAATTTTAAAATTTTATTTTATTTTAATAAGGGTAAAATTCAGTTTATTCCTTTGTGGTTGGAGTGTTTTGCACATGATTCTCCTATGATTTGGAAATCAGCACATTACCCCATTGTGCTTTTAGACTAAAATGATATCGTTAGTTTTTCCGTTAGATTAGATTATCCATGACATACATGTACCTAAGGGGAGATTTGACATAACAAAACGTGTTTCTTTCCAAAAATAGATACAATAAAAGTACAATAATACCTTTTTTCAATCTTTATCTTCTTGAGCAATTGACTTTTATATTTTTTTCTAATTGTGTCGCCCAACAGTACTACTACCTCCATCATTCCTACTATGCAACAACACAAATTGCCACAACCTCTACGCTTTCCACTAAATTACCACCCTATTGTGCACCACTACCATTGTCATCACTTCAAAGCCAAGTCCAATCAATCAAAAGACACCAGTAATAACAGAGAACAACAAAGACCAAGAGGAAACAGAGGAAAAGGTGAAGGATTTACCTCTGATCCACAAGTTCGATGAGTTGCTTTCACCTCTGATCCTCCCAAATCCTTACTTTGATTAGGGTGATTGGGGGTTTGAGTTTGTGCTTTGCAAATGGGTAGTATTGTAAAATTTGAACAAAGAGAACTTTTGCTACAAGGCATCATTCACAATTCTGTGATAGGATAAGCTTGTTTTCATATTTAGTAACAATTTTTTAAAATTTCTTTAGTGGCCGTGGTGTATAGTGAGAGAAAATCAAAACCTTTGTTTAAGCCTGAAACTTGAATTTTTGGGTATTCAAAATTTTAAGTTTTGGAGGTGAAGGGGGGCTTAATCCACCATTTTTAGGGTTAAGGAATCCATTTTTGAAGTTAAAATCGAGAAAAAATGATGTTTGGTGGGAGAAAAATTAAATTAAAAATCGTGACAATTTTTAAAAATGATGAACCCGTCACTTTGGTGCTCGATTTCCACTTACCTTGTGCACGATCTAGACAAACTAAATACATGGTTGGAAATAGGGTACAAATAGGTTAAATTTAGGCATTTGAATCACCCAAAAAGGTTAAGAAAAGAGGAGAAATTAAGGGTCAAAGTTGGCTCAAATGTTAAAAAAAAATTGGTATGTACATAACATATTAAAATGAGTTTGTGATCACATTTGAGCTTAAATTTGTGGGTCACGAGGGCAATTTAAGGAAACAAGTATGTGGGGTTTAAAATTAGGTTGAGAGTGAAGGATATTGATATTGGTTTGAGGAAGTTTAGTAATTTTTGGAGAGAGAGAAAAACTTGTAAAGTTGGGTGGTTGGTTGATTTTTCAGAAAATTAGGCAACAATTGAGAGGGAGGAAGAAGATGATGAATAGTTAAGAGTACTAAAATCATTTTGTCTCTTTTGTTTACGGTGTTAATTGTGCATATCTGTCCAAAAGCATAAGGGAGTAATGTGCTGATTTCTAAATCAAAGGGGGTCATGTGCAAAACACTCAAACAACAATGGGGATAAACTAGATTTTGCCTTTTTAATAAATAGCATAGAACATGAATTGTGGTTGTAAAATTTAAAATATTTGATATTCTATCTTTAATTAGAGCATTTTTAATTTAAGTATAATATTTTAAACTTGAGAGATTTAAATATTATACACATAAATTTTAAGAGATTTAACTGTAATTTATTAACAGATATACTTTCAATGATAGGGTCTAAGTGCTACTAAACGGATAAATTTCAGGAAATTTATATATAATATTTCAAATATCAAAGAATCTAAATTATTGAGTAACAAACCTCAAAGGTATCACCATCGTCCAATGAATTTTTTCCTTTGGGTTAAAAATATATTATTGGTTCACAAAATACAAAGTTTAGTCTATTTTTTGGTATTTCATCTTCTAATTATATGAAGAAAAAAAAACACTTAGAGATGATTCGGTGGTTAAGCATAACCTCTGATAATTTAGAAGATTCAGACTTCTCGTATTTTTTACGGATCAGACATGTTATAAACTTGTTCGGGCTATTATAACCAATATTCGAAAACGAGTGAGTAGTCGACACAAATTTGAACATATATAACAAAAAAAAATAAATAACAAACTACAAAAGCTTGAGATGCATAGAATTTCTGCATTCCTATCTACTCTCACGGCTAATTCAATTCTTTTTTTCTCTCTCCCAAAATTACAAAAATTTAAGATAGTAAAACTATATTTTTAACGTTAAATGAGCAGGGTATATGGTTGGTTTACGCAAACGATGAAATATGATTGGAATTGACATTATTGTGTAATAAAATAATTAAAATTCTAATAATTGAGAAAATTAGAAGTGAATGATTCTCGATCATTCTTAGTATGGCATATATTAATTCATAATCATTCAATTTTATTTTTCAATGATCTCTATTAAAAGGTTGCCCAAATATTCAAGGAACCACATGCCAAAAATGTTAGTGCACGTAATCTTTCTAATCTAGGGGGCTTGTTTGTCTCTTCATAAGAATGTCTTCTCTATTGTCTTCTCTCGTCATCACCACTAGCATTAAATCAAAATATGATTTTTGTCAAATTTTGAGTCTAAGTTAAAATGAGACTTTTTCATCTTGTTTTTGTTATTTTAAGTTGAAATGCATTCTTCTCCACGAAATGATTAACGACATATGAGACTTATCAAAATCGAGTAAAAGATGAATGAAAAAATTAACTTTAAAATAACTTATGTGAAAAGTGGAAAAAAAATAAAAACCCATGAAAAGAAACTTCAAATCTCATATTGATTGGCAAAAAAAAATCNGGAGGAAGAAGATGATGAATAGTTAAGAGTACTAAAATCATTTTGTCTCTTTTGTTTACGGTGTTAATTGTGCATATCTGTCCAAAAGCATAAGGGAGTAATGTGCTGATTTCTAAATCAAAGGGGGTCATGTGCAAAACACTCAAACAACAATGGGGATAAACTAGATTTTGCCTTTTTAATAAATAGCATAGAACATGAATTGTGGTTGTAAAATTTAAAATATTTGATATTCTATCTTTAATTAGAGCATTTTTAATTTAAGTATAATATTTTAAACTTGAGAGATTTAAATATTATACACATAAATTTTAAGAGATTTAACTGTAATTTATTAACAGATATACTTTCAATGATAGGGTCTAAGTGCTACTAAACGGATAAATTTCAGGAAATTTATATATAATATTTCAAATATCAAAGAATCTAAATTATTGAGTAACAAACCTCAAAGGTATCACCATCGTCCAATGAATTTTTTCCTTTGGGTTAAAAATATATTATTGGTTCACAAAATACAAAGTTTAGTCTATTTTTTGGTATTTCATCTTCTAATTATATGAAGAAAAAAAAACACTTAGAGATGATTCGGTGGTTAAGCATAACCTCTGATAATTTAGAAGATTCAGACTTCTCGTATTTTTTACGGATCAGACATGTTATAAACTTGTTCGGGCTATTATAACCAATATTCGAAAACGAGTGAGTAGTCGACACAAATTTGAACATATATAACAAAAAAAAATAAATAACAAACTACAAAAGCTTGAGATGCATAGAATTTCTGCATTCCTATCTACTCTCACGGCTAATTCAATTCTTTTTTTCTCTCTCCCAAAATTACAAAAATTTAAGATAGTAAAACTATATTTTTAACGTTAAATGAGCAGGGTATATGGTTGGTTTACGCAAACGATGAAATATGATTGGAATTGACATTATTGTGTAATAAAATAATTAAAATTCTAATAATTGAGAAAATTAGAAGTGAATGATTCTCGATCATTCTTAGTATGGCATATATTAATTCATAATCATTCAATTTTATTTTTCAATGATCTCTATTAAAAGGTTGCCCAAATATTCAAGGAACCACATGCCAAAAATGTTAGTGCACGTAATCTTTCTAATCTAGGGGGCTTGTTTGTCTCTTCATAAGAATGTCTTCTCTATTGTCTTCTCTCGTCATCACCACTAGCATTAAATCAAAATATGATTTTTGTCAAATTTTGAGTCTAAGTTAAAATGAGACTTTTTCATCTTGTTTTTGTTATTTTAAGTTGAAATGCATTCTTCTCCACGAAATGATTAACGACATATGAGACTTATCAAAATCGAGTAAAAGATGAATGAAAAAATTAACTTTAAAATAACTTATGTGAAAAGTGGAAAAAAAATAAAAACCCATGAAAAGAAACTTCAAATCTCATATTGATTGGCAAAAAAAAATCAAGATGACTTTATATACTCTTAAATTGTTCGAGAGGATGGCCCCTAAGGAGCCTTATACTTGTAAGGATGGAGGAGAATATAATGAGGTTTACTTCCAACCACATAAGCGCCTCTTGACTCAATTGAGTGTAGGTTGAATATAAACTTATCTTTTTAAGAAAAAATTGTTTGTTAAACAAACCTTAAATTCTTATCCGATTTTAAATTTTTGTCGATTAGAATTCAAATTTTGTGTCGAATCAAATTCATTAATAAACACCCAAATTGCATTTGTATTCATCACTTTCAAAATTTTACAATTATAATATTTATTACATTCATAATCTTGTTATTAGAGTATTCATCTCAGATGGTACAAACACAAATCCAATTCACTTAATAAGATAGTGTCAAACACCAATCGTGATTTGTCCTTGTTCTACATTCGGGTTGGATTATTACTTACTATTTGTTGTTTCAAAATTGTTTAAATCCACAAATCAGAATAAATATATACTGATATATGTTATACATTCTCCAAACATCTAGCACCCTCCTATCCTCCATTTTCACTCCACTGTCCTTTGACTATCCACAAAATCCTAGTAAACTCCGTCAAACTATAATGATGCTTGTACTTAACATAGAGATCTAAGAGCTGTTTGGTAAGTGGGTACGGGGGAATTTGGTAAAATAGGTTTGGAAAAAATAATTCAATAGAGCCCAAAACTCTGGTTTTAATGACTTTTTCAAGTCATGAACAGCAGTCCTAGCCCATAGTTGGCCCCATACCTTAAACCCTTGAATGTGGATTTCATAAAACTCATGGGGGGTGCATTTCGGTCAAGTCATATCTGGATTAGTGGGACAAATGTCATTTGTACCCATGACTTAAACAAACACAAGTATGAATTAGATTAACCAATAAATAATATAGTCATTTATAAGATAAAAATATTATAAAAATAGTGATATATTTGTAGGTCCCATATGTATATGTGTTACATATCAAATATGGGTATAGATTGAATTCAACATTGAAGCCCATCTTTATAAGAAGGAATTTAAATTTAAAAAAATCTAGAGAAATCAATCCAAACCCTCTCCAAAAATCCATCCAAACAAATGCATTGAGATGTTTGAATCATGGCTTTGGTTTGGATAACAGAGTTGGATTCAGTAAAATAGTTCAAGCCATTGGCTTATGTCTTGTTTCGATAGAGTTTTAATCCAAGGGGGTTTGGAATGGTTAAGACGCGCTTTTTGGCCCTCTCTTCGCTCTGGACAGGAGCTCTAGTGGACACGGAGAGGACGCAAGCAATAATAGAAAGAATAATAAAACTACTTCGCCTCTTTGTTGGACCACCAGTGCGAACATCAATGGTCTCCGACCAAGACCAGGAACCCATTTGAATTTGGATTCCAATTCAACTATGACTCAGGCTATGGTCCATGGATATTGAATTGATAATAAATTTAATTAAATACTAGAATCTCCGGTAAATCCAATAGTCCTAATAATTAAATTATCAAATTAGATCCCAATAACGTTGCTCCACCATCCAAAACTTCTGCTATCTATAAAAGAGGTAACCATCAAAACTAAAATCTCTCTACCGAAGCACTCCAACTGGGTGCTTTGTTGTGGGAACTTGGTATAATTATCCAAACTGCTACAGCTTCAATTTTCATTTGAAAATTAAGAGTCATTGAATATTACAGTTCTGTTCTTGGACAAGCAGGTGTGGGTTGGGTATGTTTGGGAAAACAAAAATTCGAAGGGTGGCAGCAAAAACAGTGACAATTCAGTAAATAAATTACTTAGAATTTGATTGAAATTATAAAGCTGAGTTAAGGTTTATAATTTGTCATGTAGATGCACCAGAATTTTGCTAAACCAGGGAGGCAATTTTGGGAGTCACAATCTCCAGAAGTCCCTTTGGATTGTCGACATGCACCCAATGGCCGGAGTTGGGAAGAACATGAACTGAAACCTTTCCCTCAGATTCATCATCTCTTCTAGTGGGAATGCTTTCAAGCCGCTGAATTACATCTGGCTCCCACCTGTCACTGTTTTCGGCACGAACAATCGCTATCTCCATTCCTTTAGGCGTGTGCTCCAGCAGAGGCCAATAATCCATCTCCCTAAGATATATCATATACACTTTCATAAGAACTCACTCTCAGAAATATGCATTATGGAGAAATAAAAAGTAGACACCTAAAAAATTGCAAATGATTTTGACGTGATATTCAAGCGGCGGAAATACAAGTTTACCTGTAGGAATTGAACATCTGGATAGCACCTTCGAGATTAAAAGCCCATGTCTCATGTTCACCTGATTTCTTGAGGTTGCTACCTATCCAATGTGACAATGACTTTGAAAACCCAAGTTTAGTCATGTGATCCACCAGCCACCTGAAGCCATGATGGCAAACTCATGTCAGTATAGAAATAAACTAATTTTCCTCTCAACAAATAATTGTATATCACATAAATGTATATATAGAGGACCGCAGTGAAATGTCACGTTAACAACAGTAAGGTTGTAGGATTGAATGTGAAGGTACATACCCAACTAATCCCTAACCTTTGAAGCAAAAGTGAAAATTTAGCTATTTTTTCCCTAATGACAAACACTTATGATTTATCTCTCTCCCTATGTGTATATGTCATGTCTATTGGTCTTATGCATATATGACCAAATATTCCAATAGTGCAGCACAAGATGCTTTCATTTCTACTTCTTATATTTTCATGCATCAGAGAGGTGAAAAGACATGATATGTACTGTCAACTAACCCAGAAATAAGCAGCGTCTGATGTCTTTGGTGCCCACTAATGTACGAAATGAATCCTCATGTTTTATTGCTGAGGCGCTGACAGATGCCTGACAAAGTCTGTTATAATAGAAACAACCCTCGAATAATGACATGAAGACCCTTTAGGCTTTAGCATGTGATTACTAGTATAAAACCCCTAACAATGTGAAATCCCGCAGGTATGATGCGGGCCACCCATTCTAGTGCTTCATTAGGCGCCCAGCATTTCTTAAAACTGTCCAGGTCAACATCCAGAAGCCTGCTGAAAAGGGTTCAGTTATACCACAACAGGCTAAACATAGTTCTAACTGTAGGAGAGAAACAAACGGACAACTATCTTCATGAGATCTCCAAAACTTAACTCCAGTTACTGAAGTATAACCCGAAATCCAAAATATTACACTTTTTGATGCTTTGAGTTCTATACTTCTAGACATCGATCAAAGAAATAAAATCAAAATAAAGACCCCAAAAAGAATCAGACTATGTGTTTGTGACTGTAGGAGGAAGGGATAATTATCTTTGTGAAACCTTCATAACTTAACTCCACTAAAGTGCCAAAGGTAAACCTGAAGTCAAATATGTAAAAGAAAATAAAAAGGACCCACATCTGCTGTTTTGAGTTCTAAACTTCCTGAAATGTCACAATTAGCATTCATTCTGCCAGCAAAGTATATATTGTTAAGTCAATTATAATTTGTAAAGCTCCATCAAAAATATAAAATGAAAATAAAGACGACAACATAGATAATGGTGTCTTAAGATCTGTAAGAGATATTTATGTAGCATGAACATTTCTCCCTCTAGGCTAGACCTGATTAGTGATATCTATCTCAAGTATTGGATGGCCAAAAATGCAAAACTTGTTTTTACAATTCTGTTTCTACCATGTAATTTAATAAATTTCACCATAGTCTGCAATTCCATCATTTAGAATGGGCACTAGAACTTCATAGAACTAGTAGTATGGAGACTGCGGAGAATACAGAATGTCATGAAGAACCACAAATTAGATCTTAAACTTATGCTAATGGCTTCCATTTTCCATGATGTGCTATTCTCTTAGTGGATTTTCACGGATTTGTAGATCAATTTCCATTTGAAGTCTAAATGAACATCAACAATTATCAAGCACAAAGGAAAAGCATACGCCGTGTCTGGGAGGAGTAAAACATAGGCAAAATACAAGAACATAACACACCTAACACCTGATCTACTCGTGATGTTCCACCTATAATTAAATCACCACATAGCAACCATGCACACACTTTAAAACAGGTCTCCAAGAACAAAAAGTTTTTACTTTCGGGATGGGACTGCTGGAGGTAGGCCCTTCAAGGTCTCCAAAACTTTCTCTACTTCTCCATCACTGTTTTCACGATCCACTTTTCCAGGGACAGAATCCAGTATCCACAGCTGTTCTGCAACAGGTTTTCATCTGATGAGTGAACTATACTTCATGTCATCATCAAATCAACCCAGCAAGTGAAAATTAGTCATCTAATGCAGACCAAGAAGAGGACTTTCTCAAAAACTTTTTCAGGGAAGTTTCAGTTTGCATACACAATTGGTGGAAAGATATAGGATACAGTGATAGGTTCAAAGAACACTTGTGTTTTTCCAGTTAAGCAATCTTGCAGCAGCTAAACATAAAATGAAAAACAGAAAAATCCCAAATGCGAGTCAATCATGAAGCTATGGCATAGGAATACCTGTTTGGGTAATTGAATTAATTGACCAAACTCGCCGCGAGCACAACTATCTGCGAATTGCAAGGCAACCTTGCCACCCATGGAATGCCCAATTACCACATCCGGGCAAGCCCAACCTTGAGACTTCACCAAATCAGCGAGATCTTTAGCGGCATTGACCATGTCATGAGGTGGATTTAAACCTTCCAATTCAGCCGAATTTCCGTGGTTCCTCAAATCCACAAGAACCATCCTCCAATCTGCATATCAAGAACACAAATAAATTTCAAAACAATGAAAAATCGTGCAAACATTGATATAATTCTCGAAAACCATTTGCTCAAAATTTCCAAGCCGCTTTGATCTTAACAAACGCACAGAGAGAGAGAGAGAGAGGTGTTTATGTGTGTAGAAGAGTACCGGAGGGGAGGGAGGAGAGGAGGAAGCGAGAGAAAGATCGCCAGTTTCGACCAGAACCCAAGAGACCGTGAAGAACAAAGGCTGTGAAACTGTGGGGCTTTTCTGGTGATGTTTTGACCTCTTCGAAAGCTAGGGTTTCGATGGGTCTCGTGGACCGGTGGAGAACAGGGACCGGTGAATTTAGAATCCGGTTCAGGAGCTGCAGAGCGGGTTTGCTCCTTAGGGTTCTCGCCATTGTTGTGGTTTCTCAGAATCTGTGATTAGTTCCAGAGCGAAGGTCATGTCATGTGGGACTGTGGATTAATGGAAGGGAGGGACATTGAAACGATGTCGTTTATAAAAATAAGATAAGTGAAAAAGTTAACAAAATGACAGCTGTGGGATTTGAACCCACGCCCTTTCGGACCAGAGCCTAAATCTGGCGCCTTAGACCACTCGGCCAAACTGTCCTCTTATTGCTATAGTTGTCGTATTATTAATATTACATAAAAAGTGAAAGCTGTGGTGACTATAGAATAATTATAGGTCCATGGCTACTTAAGAAAACTCCGATTCGATCTGAGTCAGATTGAGAGGCTTCTACCTCGTCCCGATCACAAAGAGAGGTTCACAATGATGGGATTATTTTGAATTTCAATAAACTGTGTTTCATAGCACCATATTCTAACTAATTCGTGACTCATTCATTGTTTTTTTTTGTAGGTAATGTATAATTGAGTTCATATTATATTTTCATCAAATTATTTATTAAACTAATCTAATGGTCAAAAGATTAAAAACCCACTCCAATCGAGACTAATCTCGTACCTAATTCCTTTCTATCAACTCTGCATTGTATTAATAAGTTGTGTTTAGGGGGCTGAGCGTGGGCATAGTCCCACCCTCAATTTATTTTTAAAAAATATTAAGGAGAATTACACTCAAATCCATTGATGTTTGTCACTTAATCACTCAGATCCCTTGACATTTGAAATATTATACATAGATCTCTTGAGATTTGTTTGCGTATAACACTTAAACCCCTGCTATCAAATATTCGTTGATATATCTATTAGTATATCTGTTAGTAAATTACACCTAAATTTACTGAAATTTGTAGGCGTATAATATTTAAATCGCTCAAGTTTAAAATATTATATTTAGACTAAAAATACTCCAATCAATGATAAAATATCAAATATTTTAAATTTTAAAATCAAAATCAAAATTTATGTTCTATTGTATCATTTATTAAAATAAAATAAAAAATAAAAAGCCAATTTTTCTTAAGAAATCGTAATTAGTGTTCAATTATACTATCTATTGGAATAATCTAAAAAATAAACAAGGGCTCTGAATAATTTATAATAGAGTATGAATTTTAGTTGTAAAATTCATCTTCTATTATGTCATTTATTAAAATAAAATTAAAATTAAAAATCTAATTTTTCTTAAAAAATCATAATTAATACACAATTATACTATTTATTAAAATTTAATTTAGTCGTTTAAACTTCCAAAATAAACTACCAAATTAATTTTAGAGTATGTATAGCTAATGAATGTAGCATGAATGCGTCAAAAACTAATCACACATGCTTCTTACGAGCTCTTTAGTGCTAGTTATTCTATCTGGATCACATAGAGCGAGAGTGGGAGCGTAAAATCTACAAAATTTAAAATATTTAAAAATAGAAACACCTTAAGAGTATCATATTATATGCATAACGACTAGCAGTCACTTATAAAAGTTAATAAAAATAAAATATAAAAAATTAGTTAATTTTTAAATCTATATATAAATATATATTAGAAGGTGTTGAAAATAACAATTATAGTTTACAAATATTATTCTAATTTAATATGTATTTTTATGTAAAATAATATTGTAGACACCATCTTAGAGCACCACCTTTCTTGCACCACCTGAAGTGGTACAATCAAAATAATATTGTAGACACTATCTTAGTANATTGCTATAGTTGTCGTATTATTAATATTACATAAAAAGTGAAAGCTGTGGTGACTATAGAATAATTATAGGTCCATGGCTACTTAAGAAAACTCCGATTCGATCTGAGTCAGATTGAGAGGCTTCTACCTCGTCCCGATCACAAAGAGAGGTTCACAATGATGGGATTATTTTGAATTTCAATAAACTGTGTTTCATAGCACCATATTCTAACTAATTCGTGACTCATTCATTGTTTTTTTTTGTAGGTAATGTATAATTGAGTTCATATTATATTTTCATCAAATTATTTATTAAACTAATCTAATGGTCAAAAGATTAAAAACCCACTCCAATCGAGACTAATCTCGTACCTAATTCCTTTCTATCAACTCTGCATTGTATTAATAAGTTGTGTTTAGGGGGCTGAGCGTGGGCATAGTCCCACCCTCAATTTATTTTTAAAAAATATTAAGGAGAATTACACTCAAATCCATTGATGTTTGTCACTTAATCACTCAGATCCCTTGACATTTGAAATATTATACATAGATCTCTTGAGATTTGTTTGCGTATAACACTTAAACCCCTGCTATCAAATATTCGTTGATATATCTATTAGTATATCTGTTAGTAAATTACACCTAAATTTACTGAAATTTGTAGGCGTATAATATTTAAATCGCTCAAGTTTAAAATATTATATTTAGACTAAAAATACTCCAATCAATGATAAAATATCAAATATTTTAAATTTTAAAATCAAAATCAAAATTTATGTTCTATTGTATCATTTATTAAAATAAAATAAAAAATAAAAAGCCAATTTTTCTTAAGAAATCGTAATTAGTGTTCAATTATACTATCTATTGGAATAATCTAAAAAATAAACAAGGGCTCTGAATAATTTATAATAGAGTATGAATTTTAGTTGTAAAATTCATCTTCTATTATGTCATTTATTAAAATAAAATTAAAATTAAAAATCTAATTTTTCTTAAAAAATCATAATTAATACACAATTATACTATTTATTAAAATTTAATTTAGTCGTTTAAACTTCCAAAATAAACTACCAAATTAATTTTAGAGTATGTATAGCTAATGAATGTAGCATGAATGCGTCAAAAACTAATCACACATGCTTCTTACGAGCTCTTTAGTGCTAGTTATTCTATCTGGATCACATAGAGCGAGAGTGGGAGCGTAAAATCTACAAAATTTAAAATATTTAAAAATAGAAACACCTTAAGAGTATCATATTATATGCATAACGACTAGCAGTCACTTATAAAAGTTAATAAAAATAAAATATAAAAAATTAGTTAATTTTTAAATCTATATATAAATATATATTAGAAGGTGTTGAAAATAACAATTATAGTTTACAAATATTATTCTAATTTAATATGTATTTTTATGTAAAATAATATTGTAGACACCATCTTAGAGCACCACCTTTCTTGCACCACCTGAAGTGGTACAATCAAAATAATATTGTAGACACTATCTTAGTACACCACCTAATGAGGTACAATCAGAACCATTGGATAATTAATAAATTCTATGAAAACTACTAATATAACGACTTATGTTGAGATGATACACAAACGTGGTGTAGAGAGATAGTGTGTATAGCATTGTTATTTTATGTATGGGTCAATACTTTTTAAAAAAATATTTAAATAACGAGTAAGCATATAAATATAAATATAAAATAGACATTTTACACACCGAAAAATTGTAACCATCAACTTCCTCACCTAGTAACATAAGTTGCTGGAGGGAGTGAAAGACTCTATTAGAGTGGATTAGCCAAGCTTTTCAATGACCCACTAATATTCGTGCCTTTGTCAATTTATCTGATTACTTTATTCATTCGTATTCTACAACCCACAAAATATAAATACTCATATTAGTGGAGGGCTTTTCAGCCTCCTCCTCTCACACCTCTAGATTTCCAGCACACCATCAAATACCAATTCAGATAAAAGAAGATAGTTACAATGCTGAAAATGCTAGCCTCAGTACCCTTCTAGTCGAATGGATTTATTCGTGGGTCATGTTCACTAGCCATCACCATCCCCGTACACAGGCATGTTGGGCACATAACCTAGAAAACATGAAAAATACTATGTCAGCACAACTCTCGAAAGACGGTGAGCTAGCGGCAGGGAAACAGAAGGATAATCTGCAACCATAAGCTGTCAACATATATGTAACTGTTTGCAGAGTCGTTAATTTGCACAATGCTCTTTCACTAACCTACATTTCAATTCACATTAGATTTATAATGTCTATGGCTATATCAAGACGATTATCCATCACTCAGTTGTCAATATCACTGAGAGTCCTGGAGTATCAATCTCCTTTCTTATGTAGTATTAGATCAATTTAAATTGGATGATTTTTAGTACCCATATTCGTATTTTTCTCTTTCCCGTCCCCTTTTTGTCACCACTGTGCTAAAATATAGTCCTGCCGCATATGATCAATGCCTAATTAAATCTTTTCTAATAGGTAGATTTGACTTGAAAGAAAGAGTCGTTCTGAACAGTTGCTTCAATTATAGTTCATACTCCATGAAACTGGATTTGATTGAATTTCATACCTTTCCGGCTCCTGAGCAATTTAGACACCTTTGAGTAGTGGGTGCTTGCAATGGGCGATCAGAACCACTTACAACTGAAATGGGTTCAATCTTTAAGCACACACCACTTGCAGAACAGCGGGCACATGCCAAGTATCCTGTTCACAGGGTCATCCAAACTGATGAGTGCTTGTCAATTAAGAGAAAGAGCATCTCAAAGGCAGTCTAGAGTGACAAATAGGAAGTCTTTGGCATGCAGGGAAAATGCTATACTAGAAACACACCTGTTCCGTGGCAATACATGCACCTTTTCTTCTCTTGCTGCTCAACATTGTTGGCTTCTAGTAACATCAATGCCGAAATTACACCCACTGCCCCACCAGAAAAGGATGCCACTATAGGATCCACCTGACTGGATCAGAATATAAACAAGCAGAATACGACAATCATGAGGCCTGTTCGTGCTAAAAAGTAAAACAGCAAGCATTATCTGACAGATTTTAAGAAAAGCAGCGTGCGACATTAACCTATTCTTAAAACTAATTTAAAAGTAGATACCTCAATTGCATAGGCAAATGCATGCTGCGTATGAAATCTTCATATGAGGTGCCTCCTAAGCCTAATTTCAGCTCCAACTGTCATGTGAAATAAATCCACCACTTTAACATAGATCCTTTTATATACCAGCAAGAGTAAACATAACCCCTCAAATAGAAAGTGCAGAAATATCTTCAGAATAATCTAGTTCTCATTAGCGTTGTCATTGTCAGTAATGTCATCATTACAGATGTACAACTAAACAAGGGCCAGAAAGAGAGGCGGGATTTCCCATCGTGCAAGTCCAGCCTTTATCTGTCCTTGTCGCACAAGAAAATATTTTTAACTTATAGAAAGGAAACAGATACAACAAGTCCAGTCTAGACTAAATAACAATGGCTACCCTTTTTCTCTTGCCGGATGCTGGTAAGCTACATCTTCATCTTAAATAAACCATAAGTTACACTTCAATCTCAGATTATGTTTAAGATCTAAACTTAGTTTAGATGAAATATAAACTATATTAACACTGATTAGAGCTTCCATGTGGTAGTATATTGAGGCCTGATTTACAGTACTCCAAAGCTTAACTCATCAAATCAATATTCTTAACTTTTTGTGCAAGGGAATACATTCCTATGTTTCATCGAACCTGTACCCTTCTTCGTTTTATTTGAAAATCTTGTTTGCGATAAAAGAACAACAATCTTTGGTTTACTGATCAGAGCAAATCATTGCTCCTAATAATTGCAAATATATGTGACAAAACTAGCTATCTGCCTCTTGAATAACAGCAAGTCCTCTCGACCCTTTCAGGGAACTTCATCATATAATGAATGACCTATGTTCACCTTATTTGAGATCATTTACAAGTTACTACTAACTCAAATGCATGTCAACCACAAAGCAAACCCACCAACATCACTGTAAACCCTAACTGTTACCTATCATCTATATCTGACATCTTCTCTCCTTACTCTAGCCTCACACAAGAAGCATCTCCAGCTCTCTGATGACCCCACAATAACCAATGGCAGCATATGTATAAAACACTAGTTATCCTCTCCTCCCCGACCCATGCAAAGGATGGCTCTGAACGAATTAATGAACAATGAGAAACAGTTCACCCAAAGAAAAAGGGAAAAATAAGTAAATCTCGTGACTAGAAAATTTAAAATTTTGGCACTCGGAAAGGATACATTTCACTTCTCAGAATTGTAAACTTACAGTTGGTGCCAGGAGACCCCCAAAGACAATTATTCCAGATATGAATGAAAAGCTTGTCAGGTAAAGCTGCTTCAATGTCTTCGGGGTCTACCTCAAAGAGAAATGCACAAGGTCAGTGAAAAATTAATGCAAATTGACAATTATTCCCTAATGCAGGAGGTCAGATATGTAAATCATTTACAACTCACAATGAATAAAATCCTAATCACTTACTACTTTTTGGTTTTGTCTGTTTCTGTTGTATGTATAACCTTGCATGCTATTGTAAACATGAAGAGTTTTATACCCAGCATACGTGCCATGTACTTTTGTGTGGTTGGTCAAGGGTTCAAAGAGTTACCACGTGAGGGAGAAAGGGGATGGATGAGGGGATGTCAGGCATCTCATTTTCCTCTTCCCCATTCTGATCAATGACTTTGACACTCTTTATGCGTTGTTGAATTCGTAGCCTCCGTACCTAACACAATCGATATGGAAAACTAACAAATTATTCAATTTGCCCCAAAAGTAGAATGCAAAAATTGTTTGATGATATGGGTTTTGCAAAAATCAAAACAGAGTCTCGTACTCACCTCTTCCATAAGGAGAAAAATCTTATTGCGCCTACTCTTTATATTGTCCTGGATTTCCTGGAGCTGCATCTGAACAAAATCCTGAACAGTCTCTGGTCCTTCTATAATGCAGAAATTGCTGCTGGAAAGCCAAGGAGCAAGATAATAAATTACTGATTTTGGGCTAAATAACAATACTTCTTTCCCTACCAGACATTGGTACCAACAGTGAGCACACTCCATAAGCAAATGCTTGCTTAAAACCATATGCCAACATGGGGAGACAGATGGCGTGAGACCACCAAATCAATAAGTCATTCACAAAATGTACCAAAAATATGTGATCATGAATACTTAAATCACCAAAAGAAAATTCACTAAGGAAAGTAGGTCCAATGCCCGACATAATAGCGGTAGATATGGCTATGTTACTCATGAACCTATCATATCGTTGAAACAGTATTTTCATTTATTCATTAAACATTAAGGTTACTCATTAGGAGAAAATCACTGGATAATCTTTCATCAACTAAGCACAATTTACCCAAAAATATTCAAGCTAAAAAGCAATCAAATGGTTGCGAATTCTTTCTGTCAGAAGGTAAATGCTTGTTAAGTCAATTACATCAAAAACTAAACAACCAACAAAATTTACAACAAAATCAATTTCAATTTATCAACCCAGAAATTCAGTCATATGACTGATTACACAGGAAAGGGCAAAAAAGAGAGAGAAAATGCGTTCATAGTTTCGCTACGTGACGACAAATAGCAAAAAGTCGCACTCAATATACATTATTCCTAGCTTACTTGAGACAAATTTCAATTCGTATGACCAACGGAGCAATACAGAACACTTAGATTCAAAATTCTATTTTATTTTCAACAATCTGAAACACAGAAATGAAGTGAAGCAAAAGAATCCCTAACCTTGGAACGTCATCGCCCGCAGGGATGGGATTAGAACCGTCCTTTGAGGAAGATGAACAGAAAATTCGAGTCATTCGCGAAGTGTTCTTGAACAAAGCGACGCGTTCAGGTTTTCCATGACTGGAGCAGCTAAAGAAAAATAGGGTTTTGGAGGAATTGAACTTCGAATTGTTTGTTGATAGAAGATGAGGGTAGAGAGATAGAGAACCCATTTTTCTTTATCCTCTGCACCTCAACTGATCTTTACACACACACCCACCGAAGCGAGAGAGAGAGAGAGAGAGGAATGTGGAAATATAGGTACTCAGTACGCTAGATAAATATTTATAGAGAGAGAAAAAAGAAGGTTTTTGTCTGAAAGCAGCGAGGAGAAGAATATGGAACGTTGCTGCCGATGGGGATCTACAGAGCATCAAAAAAGTTTGGAAAAGTGAGCGGGGTTGGTTACCGTCTCAAAAATTATTTTTTGTTGTCAAAATTTTAAAAATAGTCAAAAACATCTTTATTTAGTATTTTTGTCCTCAAAATTTTAAAAATAAAATAAAATTTAAGACAAATAAATAAAAAACAAGTAGCAAAAGTCTTTCGAGTCCCCTTAGCAGCAAAAATCTTTGTTTCCATTTTTTTTTTGTCTTCCTCTCTCTCCGACATCCTCCATCTCCTCTTTCTCTCTCTCTGGTGTAGCACTGCAGCACCGATCTAGATATTGTGTTAGATATCTATATAATAAAATAGTTAGGTGTTTAAACTTATGAGGATATATTTTCCCCCCCAAATTTCACACACCCATCACATATTTTTCCTCTTAAATTTCACAAACTCAATACAAATACTCTACAACACATACTTCAATACGTACTCACTACACACACATTATATATACACTCCAACTATACACACACACTCCAATACACCCATAGTGTCATAGTTTAATATTCAGTGACTTCAGTCACGGAATATTGCTAGTATATATATATTGTGTGTATGATGGGTATATGTATCTGTACTTTGTTTGTGTGTGTGTATATATATATATATATATATATTGTGTGAGGGTGTGAGTGTTTTTTTTGTGTTATTTGTTTTTTTTTTTTTAGAAAAAATTATTGGTGTTTATATATTTTTTTCTATTGAATATGTTTGGTTTATTGATTTTTTTTTTTATGAAATTGTCAATTAAATTTTTTTTTATTAATTTTTGAATTACTGTTCAAACATATATTTAAGCTGTCAAAACAGATTTTACTATTTTCTATATTATAAAATTATTTTTGAAATCATCCAACTAAACAAGTTTTTTATCTCAAAAAATATCAAAACACACTTTTTTAAAACTCTTCTCAAAAACTATTTTCGGATATTATGTTTTGAAACGCAAACCAAACATGCCCATATTCACATTTCCTAAAGTTTATCGTTTAATCACCTAAATTTCTTGACGTTAACATATTATACACAAACTCACTAAATTTTGTATGCAGATAACAAATAACATTTCTGTAATTTTTGTTAAGTATAATAAATTGCATCTAGATCCATAAAATTTTAAACAGATAATACTTAGACCCTCAAATTTAAAATAATATATTTAAACTAAAAATATTTCAATTAAAGATATACTAGTTATTATTCGTGTCTGAAAATACAGAGTAATAAAAAAAATAGTCAATAATAAATATATTTGTATTCACATCTAAAATTAAATAACAAATATAAAGGAGAGAAAAAAGAATTTAAACACCGATTATAGTGAAAGTGAGCGATGATAGTGGTGGTGAGGCGATAGGGGTAGTAATGGTAGGGGTGATGATTGGACAGTGGTGGTGGAGGTAGGGTAGTGGTGGGGTGGAGGTGACAGCGATGATGGTGGTGGTGGGGGGTAGTGGGGATGGGAGGGTAGTAGGGGTTGGTGGTGGTGGTAGGGTGGCGACGGTAGTAATAGTAAGGGGCGGTTGTTTGTGGCAAAGGTAGTGATGGAGTGGCGATGACAGCGGTAGGACAGTGGCGGTGGTGGGCTGGAGGTGACAGTAATGGGGATGGGGGTGATCGGGTAGTGGTGGTGGGTGGGGTGACAACGATGGTGATGGGTAGGGCTGGTATGGTGATGACAATGATGATGGTGGTAAAGGGTGGGGGGTGGTGGTAGTTGTGATAGTAGTGGTGAAACAGTGGGTGGGGTGGTGGTGACATTGGTGGTGGTAGTGGTAATGGTGATGATGGTGTGGGGTGTAGTTTGGTGGTGGGATAGGGTGGCGGTGGTGGTGGTAATGATAATGGGTGGTGGGGGTGGTAGTGGTGATGGTGGTGGGGTGATAGAGGGTGATGGTGGTGGTGGGGTGGTTTCAAATATTATTTTTAAAAATATATATATTTATAAGTATTAAGTACTTTTAAAAAGTCACTTCAAACACTCATTTATGAGTCTATTTTGCCTATTAATTTTGGAGTGTTAATATTAGTCATTAGATTAACTTTAAAGTAAAATTGAAAAAAATTTCACCTGCGAATAGTAAAAGTCATTTTATTTATCTTTTAAGATTGAATTGTATTGTACTTTATTATATAGATTTTAAATTTTACAACTAAAATTCATATTCTATTAATTCATTATAATTATAATAAAGAACTCAATTCAATACTCATTTACATACAATTATNTGGTAGGGGTGATGATTGGACAGTGGTGGTGGAGGTAGGGTAGTGGTGGGGTGGAGGTGACAGCGATGATGGTGGTGGTGGGGGGTAGTGGGGATGGGAGGGTAGTAGGGGTTGGTGGTGGTGGTAGGGTGGCGACGGTAGTAATAGTAAGGGGCGGTTGTTTGTGGCAAAGGTAGTGATGGAGTGGCGATGACAGCGGTAGGACAGTGGCGGTGGTGGGCTGGAGGTGACAGTAATGGGGATGGGGGTGATCGGGTAGTGGTGGTGGGTGGGGTGACAACGATGGTGATGGGTAGGGCTGGTATGGTGATGACAATGATGATGGTGGTAAAGGGTGGGGGGTGGTGGTAGTTGTGATAGTAGTGGTGAAACAGTGGGTGGGGTGGTGGTGACATTGGTGGTGGTAGTGGTAATGGTGATGATGGTGTGGGGTGTAGTTTGGTGGTGGGATAGGGTGGCGGTGGTGGTGGTAATGATAATGGGTGGTGGGGGTGGTAGTGGTGATGGTGGTGGGGTGATAGAGGGTGATGGTGGTGGTGGGGTGGTTTCAAATATTATTTTTAAAAATATATATATTTATAAGTATTAAGTACTTTTAAAAAGTCACTTCAAACACTCATTTATGAGTCTATTTTGCCTATTAATTTTGGAGTGTTAATATTAGTCATTAGATTAACTTTAAAGTAAAATTGAAAAAAATTTCACCTGCGAATAGTAAAAGTCATTTTATTTATCTTTTAAGATTGAATTGTATTGTACTTTATTATATAGATTTTAAATTTTACAACTAAAATTCATATTCTATTAATTCATTATAATTATAATAAAGAACTCAATTCAATACTCATTTACATACAATTATACTATCTATTGGAATAAAACTAAAAAATCAAATAAGGGGTCAAATTATAATAGACATAATATCTTTTATCTTTAATTAATTGGGATAATTTGATCATTTAATAAATTTTATTAGTTTTATAACTAATAAAGGGTCAAAGTATAGTATTTTGAACTTGCCAAATTATAGTATTTTGAACTTGACAGATTTAATGTGACACCTATAAATTTTAGGGGATTTAAGTGTTATATATCTACAAATTCTAAAAAATTTAAATGTAATTTATTAATAAATATACTAAACGGTAAGAGTCTAAATATTTATACATAAACCTCGGAGTTTGGGTATGAGAGTCTAAGTGTTTATGCATAAATCTCAGAGTTTGGTTATAATTTTCCCAATAAGTTTTTTGGGGGAAGAGAGAGAGAGAGAGAAAGAGAGAAAGAGAGAGAGGTTTAATTGTTTTTCCCGTTTAGTGCTAACCCGGAAGAAAAAAATAAATTTTAATCGTTTAAATTATTCTTAATTATTTTCAATCAGTTTAAACAATAAAAAGATATCTATTATAATTAAAAGTTATAAACAATTTTAAAAAATTGCTTCTAACTTAATTCTTAATTCTTAGACCCAACCCCAGATCTTCGGGCTAGGTTGGTTAATTCAACAAAGTGAAGAAACCCAAAAGTGAAAAGTGTTTTCCTTCTGGTTTCTTGCAGTTTCCCAGCAAGGCAGCAACCAAACAATGGGTTTAAAATCAGAAAAATCTAGAAGCTAACATAGCTATCAGCAACAAAACCAACCAAATGGTGACCAAAAGAGAAATCCAGCTTCCAAATCCTCCATTTCTTTCCTCATATAAATCATCACTCCAAGCCAAGGCCTCTCTATTGCACTTCTTTAATTCCCTTGGATTCATTGTACCATTTCTTTCTTTTTCAGCCAGTTTAATGTGAGATATAATGTGAGGAAAAACTCTCTTACAAGACTCTTCTCCAATCAATAAATCCGAGTGCCCGAAACCTTCCACAACCACCCTTTCATGTCTAAAACTAGGCTGGTGCAACTTCATGTACTTGTTAGCCAGAAAAGAAGTCTGAGGAGTCACAAGGAGAGTCCGTCCACCGGATATATAAAGCGTTGGCAGTGCCATTCTCTCAGGATGGATCAGATACGAGTTCTTGCCATTGCTATCAATGATGAAACCCGAGTTACAGATTTTTCTGAGGTGAGGAAATGCAGCCATGGGAAGCCTTGGTAAGCTTTGTTTGTTCAACCAGTGGTGCATTGTGGGGCTTATATTATTGTGCCAAAATGTGTTACCAAATATGCCTGAGAAGACTTCACATTCATCGCAGGCACATCTCTCGTAGCGTGGCACGAAACGGGCTATTAATTTGAGGAGCTGGTGTTGCGAACTAGCCTTCAATGTTTGGAAGAGAGGTAGAGACTTGTTCTCGCCTAATATCGCCATAGACATCTGCAGGTTCATTGAAGTTAAAACATAGCACAGAATAGAGAAAAAAGAATCAAGTGTGTTCCTGAGGGATAAAAAATGATGTCAAAACTGTATTGTTGTCTTGTTGGCCTATCTTGTTTGCCTAAGCCTACTAAACAGTACAATCTCGGAACAGTTTGGCAGGGGATGTTGAAGTGACTGAATTTGTTGTATTTCAAGCCAAATTTACATTTAGCAGACTAACCTGATTTATCTTA